TCTCTCTCTCTCTGTCTCTCTCATTTTTACCCCTCTCTTTTCTTCATTCTTTTTTCCTTCTTTCTCTCTCCTTCTTCCATTATCTTCTTTCTCTTTTCTTTCCTTCCTTCCCCACCTTGCTTCCTTCCTTTTTTCTCCTTGCCTCCTGGGCTCAAGCAGGGAACCTGAGCCTGGGAGAGACTTACGTGCTCTCATAAAAGCTGAATCTGCAAGTGATCTGTCAGTTTTTCCCTCTGACACAAACAGCCTTGACCTAAAAATCATCTCAACACCTTTTAGCCATGAAACCAGATCCAAGATGCTGGAAGCAGAGTGGCTCTCCTGCCCTCTCAAAGTGTCTCCGATCCAGGCTGAGGCTGGAGACCGCTCCTTGTTGAAACGCCAACGGGAAGGAGGCCGAGGGGTATGGAATTGCCTGGCAGAGACAGCGGGCACCAGACCTAACTCCTTTTCATTTCTTAGTCCCTGCCCTGGGTTAGAAAAAAAAAATCCACTCCCAAGTAGAGAAAAGAAAATGAAAAGTGAGCCAAGCTTTAGCTTTTTAATAATGTTGAAATTGAAGCAATTGAGGAATGGTTATTAATAAACACAGTTCACACTATGAAACCATGGAAATTTTTCCTCTGTAATGTAGCATAACCATAAGGGTGGAAATATTGATTCATTTAAGATGAAGCTCTGGCCCTAACTTTCAGCGATCAAGGGGAAATGTGCTTAGCAGGAAGAGCATGAACTCAAATTCAAACTCAGCCCACCACGTATGAACTTGGGCAGTTCACCTACCTTCTTACACCTACCCTCCTACTGTCTTCCCCTGTAAAACAGGGCAAATAAATAAGAAAACAAATCAATAAACAGACATCCCCTCAAAGAGTTGTCTTAAGGATTATACGAAATTGAGTTATTTTAGTTTTTTTAAGTATAGTTGGTTTGCAATGTTGTGTTAATTTCTGGTGTACAGCACAGTGATTCAGTTATACATATATATTCCTTTTCATATACTTTTTTATTATAGGCTCTCACAAGGTATTGAATATAGAGCCCTGTGCCATACAGAAATAAACAGTGTTAAACTTCAGTTTAATAAAAGGGGAGTCAGACTAGGGGCTATAGGAGTCTTGCCCACATGTCCTTGTTTGCTTTGTAATTGAAAGAAAGTCATTTCACCTCTCTGGGCCTCCCATCCCTCCATTCAAAACTAAATTGCATTCTCAGGAATGCAAAATGGTACAGCTACTCTGGAAAACAGTTTGGCATTGTCAATAAAATTAATTATACACTTAACCTGCGACTCACCAACCCCACTACTGGTTAATTTCTCAGGGAAAAAAATAGGGTCATGCAAACACCTGTACAGAGATGTGTATAGCTGGTCTCATCATAATCGCCGACAAGTGGAAACAAGCCACATGTCCTTCAGTGGGTGACCAAATAAAGAGGCTGTGACATACCCATGCCACGGAATCCTGTGTAACAATAAGGGATGAATGCCCTGTTGGTCCACCCAACAACTGCATGTGTTTCAAAGGTGTGATGCTGAGTGAAAGGAGTCGGACTCAGAAGACTGCATACTGTATGAGTCCATTTATCTGTCGTTCGCCATTTACAAGCAGACAAAGCTACAGTGACAGAGAAGAGGTGAGTTGTTGCCAGGGAGGAGGGGTGCGGGGAATCTGTGGCAATGGGGGAGTTAAAAAAAAAAACAGAATAATAAGTTGAGTGGGAAGAAGAAGAATAAATTACTCCTATGTGTCTGTCACTTTTTTTTTTGCCCATCACTTTTTGATTCACAAATTATTTTCATTAGATTCTCATAGCTCAGAAACCACAACGGACAGACAAAATGACTTGCCTGGGAAATACTGATGTGATCCTTGAGACCCATCCTTCCAAGTTCAAATTCTGGGTCCTTTTCACCACATCTCACTAGGTGATACTTGAAGTGTTTTTCTTTTCTAAAAGGCTTGCAGGAAGAACCAATTATATCTGATCTACTTTTTGTCTGGTTTTGTTTCGTTTTTTTCCAAGTTCCTATGTCAACCTGCTCATGCCCATCGAAATTTTATATTTTCTTAGAGAAAAATAACAAATCAATGCATAACTCAGTAAAATGACACATTAGTTGGAAGGCACTTTTTTGACTGGCTCTTTGAATGAATGATTAGAAAAATCAGCTGTCGTAAATGTGAAAGCATTCATTCGTGTATTCAGTCCTTTGACACATCTTTATTCAGCCACATCATGCAATGTGCCATGACTTGGCGCAAACCATTTCTATCGCTGTGAACACTCTCCCGATGTCCCTTTCTGGCTAAATCCCACACATCCTTCAGATCTCAGCTGCAACACCAATTTCCCAGTGGCCTTCCCTGTCCTTCTCCAGCAAGCTCGCTTAGGTGTTTTCTTGAGACCCCATCGCATCCTGCATATTGTTCTACATTGATGCTAATCATTTCAGTACAACGTGGTACCATCTCTCCCACTGGACTGTGTGCACTAAAAGTGGGGGGGGGGGACGACCAGGACTGAATCATCTAGCACAGGCCTGAATTAGCACAATTAAGGGGCATCCATCCATTCATTGGACCGTTGTTTATAAGTTCTTTCTTTGTGTCAGGCAACACTCTATTGCAGAGAAAAATACATCACCCACATTTTCACGGAACTTGTATTTAAAAGTGAAAGAAGGAGGAGGTCTCAGCTCAATCTCCAGAGCTCCCTAATGAGGCAGAGTCTTTTCCAACCCAGCAGGAGACCCCAGTTCAGGCTCCAGCAGAGGTAGAACCATCTGCAACTTTGCAGGAGCAATGAGCTCACTTCCAGAGCCTTCTTCTGGGGAGGTGGAACCTTCTCCAACTCAACAGGAATAGACAGCTCCACCTCCAGGGCATCACAAGTGACAGCTTCAACTCCAAGTCACCACCAAGCTCAGCATTCAAACTTACCCAGTGTCACTGACAAGCCTGCAGACGTGGAGCTTACCACAACAGCAGAACGCAATACAGAGGTGGGACCTCCAAATCAGCATGAGGCTTCAGCTCAGCCCTCAGGGCCCCTGACTAATGTGGGGTTTTCTACAACCCAGCATGAGGCCTCCACCCGCCTCCACAGCCACCTGAGGAAGTTAGTTGACATTTGCCAGTTGAGCAGGAGGCTCCAGCTCAATTTCCAGAACCTGTTACACACAAGAAAACCAGCACAACAGGAGGCCCCAACTCAGTATCCAGAGCATCCTGACAAAGAAGTTAAACCTTCCTTCCGCAACCCAGCAGGAAAGCACAGCTCAGCACCCAGAGTCTCCGGTGAGGCTGAATCCTCTCCAGCTCATTCTCAAGAGCATGATGTGACAACAGCTTCTCCTCCAGGTCAGGATCAAGCTCAGTCTCTGCAGTGGGCCAGTGTCACTGTTAAACCTGTGGATCTTGTACTTACCATAACTGCAGGGTCCACAAATAAAGTTGAAACTTCTCCACCCCAACAAGAGGCCTCAGCTCAGTCTAGGTGTCCCCTGAGGAGGTGGAACCTGAAATATTGAACCTTCTCCAGTCCAGCATGAGCACCCAACTCAGCCTGCAGAGACCTCTACAGATATTGCAGCTCAACCTTCAGTACATAATGAGGTGACCTTCTCACCTGTAGGTCCAGACGGAGCTCAGCATCCAGTGATGCCTAGTACCATAGGTAAAACCCCTGGATCTAGCAGTTATCACAACTCCAGAACCAACTAAGGAGGCTGAAAGTTCTCCAGAGCAGCAGGAGGACTCTGCTCATTTTCCAGTTTCCCCCGAGCAGTCCAAATCTCCTTCTCAGTCTCCAGAGTCCCCTGGGAAGGTGGAATCTTCTCCAGGCCAACAAGAGGCCACAGCTCAGACTCCAGAGCCCCCTAGAAGGGTGGAGCTTTCTTCGGTCCAGCAGGAGGCCCCGGCTCAGCCTCTAGTACATCTCCAGAGCCCTCTAAGGAAGTGGAATCATTTCCAGTCCCTCAAGAGACATTTCCTCAGCTTCTATAGCCCCTTGAGAATATAGAATCTTCTCCAGTCAAACACAAGTTCCCAGCCCCATCCCTGGAACCCGTCAAAGAGACAAAACTTTCTCCAGCCCAGCAGGAGGTCCCAGCTCAGCCTCCAGAGCCACCTAAGGAGGTTGTAGCACAACCTCCAGTGCATTTTGAGATGACTGTTCCCACACTAGGACAGAATCAAGCTCAGCATTCAAACTCGCTCAGTGCCACAGTTGAACCTTTGGATCTGGGGCTTACCATGACTCCAGAAGCTACTATGGAGGCCGAACATTCTACAGCCCTGCAGCAGACTACAGGTCCTCCAACATACCCTGGGGTGATACCTCCACATCCAGAGTAGGTTCATGCTCAGCATCCAAACCTAACTGAAGTCACAGTTAAACCTTTGGATCTGGGGCTTACCATAACTCCAGAATCTACTATGGAGGTTGAACCTTCTCCAACCATGCAGAAGATCCCAGCTCAGTCTCTGGAGCCACCTAAGGAGGTTGTAGTTCAGCCTCCATTGTATCAAGCTGCAGCAGTTCCAAATCCAGGTCTGGATCAAGCTCAGTATCCAACACTGCCCAACATCACAGTTCAATCTTTCAACACAGGACTTCCTATAACTTCAGAACCTACTACAGAGATTGAACATTCTACAACTCCTAGTCTGAAACCCCCTTAGGTGACACTTCTACATCCAGAGCAAGTTCACGTTCACCATCCAACCCTGACTGAGGTCACAGTTCAACCTTTGGACCTGAAAACTTCATTAACTTCAGAATCTAATATAGAGGGTAAACCTTCTCCAACCATGTAGAACCCCCTAGGAAGTTGTTGTAGTTCAGCCTTCATTGTATCAGGAGGTGACAGTTCCAGCACCAGATCAGGATCACACTGAGCATCCAACATCACCTAGTGCCACAGTTAAACCTTTGGATCTGGAACTTACCATAACTTCAGAACCTACTACAGAAGCTGAACATTCTACAGCTCTCCCTCCGAAACACCCTGAAGTGACACTTGCCCATTCAAACATCACTCAAGTCAGTTCACACTATGGACCAGGAACTTACTGTAACTGGAGCATCCAATGTGGGGGTTGAACCTTCTCCAACCAAGCAAGAGACTCCAACTCAGTCTCCAGAGCCGCCTAAGGAGGTTGTCGTTCAATATCCATCCCATCAGGAGGTGACCGAACGTTCTGACTCCAAGTAAGGATCAAGGTCAGCATCCAACATCGCCCAGAGTCACAATTCATCATGCAGACCTGGAGCTAACCATAACTTCAGAACCTACTTCGGAGGCCAAACACTCTACAGTCCTGCAGAAGACTACAGCTCCTCCTCCTGAGGTTGCCCTTGCACATCCAGACGTGACTCGAGTCACAGTTCCACCTGTAGAACAGGAAGTTACCATAACTCAGCATCCAGGGTCACCTAAGATACCTTCTTCATCGACTCAGTTCAGCGGTGCATTGTAGAACATATACCCCAGAAAAGAAGCAACCAGAACACAATGCTACCATAAGCACAAACATATGTGAGCTCTGTATCTGCAAAAATGAGACACTGTCATGTGTTGGTTTCAGTTGAAAGAAGAGGCTCCACAAAGTGTCTGTGCCAGAGCCCAGCAGCTCCAATGGCACCTTCACCATCTTGTAAGAATTACTTTTCCTCATTTGTTCTCTGCATCCTACGTGATGTGGCAGCCTTTCTTCAAAGTCTTCCTGGGTCTTCCTCATCTCCCCAACTCACATTGACTGACTTTCTGTTTTTACCTTTTGTTTGTCTTATAAACAATTTCTTATGTTCATTTGTCTTCTTACTATCGTCCCTTCTTCTCCAGTCTCTTACTTATAATTACCCTTATTCTTTTTCCTTCTCCATTTTTTACTCCATTATTTAATTTATTAGCAGCTCTTCTCTCATTTTTGCTCCATCCTCGTTACAGCAACATGTCCCTCTCCCCATCTCATTGGTGGTAATACAATGAAGTGGTTAAGAGTAGAGATTCTGGAGTCAGACTACCTGGGTTTGAATCCAGGTCTGCCATTTATTAGCTTTCTGACTCAGTTTCCTCATCTGGAAAGTGGGGATTATCATAGTCACCATCTCATAGGATTATTGTGAGATTTAGATGAGTTAATACAGGTAAAGCTCTTATATCAGTGCCTAGCATATATCTGAGTGTTAGCTATTATTATTATTCAATCCCTCAGTTATATCGAGAACTCATCTTTGCCTCCTGGATTTCTATATATAGCACCCATTTTATGCACAACCCAAGGCTAAGTACCGTGGGAGCCATAGAAGTATGGCATTGTCTCCAGAACATGACAGTGATAGGTGGGAAGAAGGAATATGCCTTAAAAGGGAGGTGATGCATAACTGAATATTAAAGGAGATACAGAGAATACCCAGAACCTAGAATACTGGGGTGTGTAGGTCAGGGAAAACTGCACGGATAAGCTAAAACTTCCACTGGAACTTAAAAGATTGGCTGTGACTTGTTAGAGTAAAACTGGGAAGTACAGTCTAGGGAAAGGTGTGGCTGCAGGAATCATCAGGATTTAAGAGATCAGTCTAGCTGTGAAGAACTGGGTTAGGCAGCAATGAAAGATATGCTTATGAAAAACCTTGACTATCACAAACGGGAGTTTGAAAAATATGCTATAAGATACGGGGAGCCACTGAAAGCTTTGAAGCAAAAGAGATAAATGATTAAAATAAGAAGCTTATTTTAGATTCCATATGTAGTGCGATCTAGAGAGGAAGGTTGGATTCAGGGAGACTGAACAGAATGCTGCAGCAAAATCTAGGAAGAAAGTGGGAATGGGCTGAATTAGAGTGGTGTGACAGGAGTAGAAGGGAAATCCTAAGAGCACTACAAAGGAAACACCAACAGTGTTTAGTAATTGCCTAGAGTTGGGGGATGAGGTGTACAGGAAAGAGAAAAATCAAGTATGTCGATGAGGAGAATGATGATGGTAGAACAGGTAGAAATACTGTTGGGAAGGAGAGCCAGTTTGAGGGGATGCGTTCAGTTTTATTGATGAACATAAAGCAACCAGAAGGCTTCTGTCTGAGTGGAAATGTCCCCTAGGCAGGTGGGCAGACAGGTATCTGTTTTGACTTGTTTCTGATCCCCCTGAAAAATGTGCATATAAACTAAATAGTTGTTGCTGAGGGAAGAGGACAAAGCTAAAGGTAAAGATTCAAAGTTATCCACAGTTAGTGGTTGAAACTGAACCGCAAGCACTTAACAGCTTCTTTTAAACACGTGTAATTCACGGTTTCTAAAATAAAAAGTCATAGAAGTAAAAAAATATAAATAAATAAAATAAAATAAAACAAGTAAAAGTGAAAGAGACAATGAAGAAACAAAAAGCAGGCATCACTTTTTGATATTATATAACATATGGATGAAGGTAAATAAAAGAGGGCGAGGAGACAGCGTGCAATGGGTCTCTGAGGAAGAAACATCCGAGCAGAGATATGAGCGAGGCAAACCCTTCATTCAGTCCTCACCCAGCAAGCACTTCCAGAAAGCCTAGTGCTTCATTTTCTTTTTCCCAGTCTTCCAGGGCCGGGGTCCTTCCCTGGCCCCCAGGCCTCAGTAGGTATGGGCCCCGTGGCTAATATGGGCACTTTAGGCCCCGGCCACCCCGGTGACGAGCAACTGGGATTCCGTCTACCAGCACCCGGGGCACACCTCCTGCTCCATTGCCTCTGACAACCTAAGCAAACTTCTGGGCAAGGGGTGAGGGAGTAACTTTGTTCTGGATTCCGAGTGGGTGTTTAGATTTCAAACAAGTAACCTGCCAGTCTCCGGCCATTTGAGAACTTGGTTTCCTTTGACTCATAAAGTGCCCTTTATACCTCAGAAGTGACATAAAATATCCTTCCATCTTTGCCCTGAAATATCCCTGACTGATGCATGAAACGGGCCTTTATGATACACCAAAGGCCTATAACTGTATCTTTTCCTGGACCTTTGATATTTTAAAATTTGGCCCAGGAAAGTATTATCTCGTCAATCCACAGAGCACTTATATATTTAGCTGGTTAGAGTTTTGTTATTGTTTCAATGTGGAGAGGACTAAGCAAGAAGGTCCCAGCCTCCCCGCAGCCCTAGATGTGGACATCCTCAGACTTTCGTCTCCAAAAGCAAAGAAACTCAGTGTTGGAACTCTCTTGGCCCAGGTTTCCCACGGGAGATGTCAGACAACATCCCCTACAAGTGCCTCTAATTTATGCTTCTTCAGGAGCCACGTGAGAGCCCTCGTGGGGCCACCGTGGGCTCTGGGTGTCAAGGAATGGTGTTCAGTTGAAAATAGGAGCTGAAACTTCATTATTAGAAATGTGCTCCTTGCATTCAACTGAACAGGGTACGTAAGACCTACTGTGTGTCTCCTTTTAAATTAGGAAACTGAGAGCCATTTGAAATCTCCCACCCATTTATTCTTATATTCAAGAATTTTTTATTCAGGTTCTATTTGGCTCAGACACTGGGCAGACAGCAGGGATACTAGTCATGAGACAGTCTGCCCTCAAAAACCCTTCAGTTGAGTTCCATTCTCTCTTATTCTCATCTTAATTTATTACCAACATCCCGTGGGTTCTGCCTCGCAAATAATTCTCAGATTCACTCCCCTCCCCTCCTCTCTGTACCTTCTGCCTCGGATCAGAATCTCATCATCTCTCAACTGAATTACTGCCGCTGTCTCCTAATGGGATTCTTGGCCACCAGCGTTACCCACTATAACCTCCCCCATCCCCACCCCCACCCCCCAGCACAACCCCAACCCAGGACTCAGCCAGACACATCCAGTGCTCAGATCTCATCAGTGCTCCACTCCAAACTCAAGCTCAAATGCCTATAAGGTCCAGGCAATGAATTTTAAAAAGTGAAGTGGCAGAGTAAGGTCAGGGCTGGGAAGAAAGTAGAACTGGAGAGGGCATGCCCTACCTAAATTAAGGCCCCATGTCAGTCAAGAAAAACACACCCTCGGGCTAAACCCCAGGCCACCAGCTTGCATGCTCTGTCTCAGGTTGAATTCTTACTCTGGCAGCCACCTCCTGAATGGACCCAGACCAAACTCTCTGGCCTCGCTTCTCACCGTGACCATCTCCTGCCTCCCCCACTTCTCTTCTGTGCTTCAGCTCTATTAGATTATTTTCTGCAGTTTTCCCAAACCACAAAGGTTCACACCTTCATGCATTTGCTCATGGTTTTGTATTTCCCTCGAGTCACCCCAATTCCTCACCTAGAGAGCTCTGTTTCATTGTTCAAAACGTATTCTCTGGCATCGCCTCCTCTGGAGAGTCTCCTGTATCTAGAAAGAATTGATCCCTCCCTCCCTGTCTCACTTCTTTGTGTTATGTACCCTCCTCTCACTGACCTGCCAGTCTGCATTTACTAATTAGTGGGAGGAGCAGACAGGTGTGTTAACAGGGCGTGAACTCCCTGTGGCCAGTGCTTGCTGGGTGACACTGGGCCATCTTTGTTGTCCCGGTGTCTTGCACAGAGCCCACACTGCAGCAGGAGTCTGACAGACTCATCAAATTCAGTGCTAGGTGATTCCAAATACTTGTTATTTAATTTTTATAAGAAGCAGCTTGACAGGCAGGCAACATTGTCACGCCTGTTACCTAAGCGAGGAAACAAGGGCTTGGAGAGACAGAGCAGGAGCCTGGGGTCACACGGTGAGTCGTGGAGCCAGGGTTTGGCCCCAGGTCTTCTAAAAGAGAGCCCAGCCCACGTCCAACAACCTGGTCCACCCACCTCTCGAGTTGAATGCAAATATATGTCAGAAGGGAGTTCTAGAAGCATCTGCCGCGTCTGGTAATAGTCTAAATGTTGTTAAGGTCAATTATGATAGACGATGAAATGGATGGGAAGCAATGCCAGAGTCAGACACACAAGGTGAATGCCTTCCCTTAAGCACACTCTTCCCCACATCACAGACTATTAAGTACAAAAACGACACTATTACACAGGTGTCCTGGGTTCTGACCCCACTCCTGCTTCTCATTTGCTGGCTGACCTTGGGCAAGTCACTTAACTGCTCTGAGCCTTCAATTCTTTACCTTTAAATGTGGGGTCTGGGCTCTTTGGTAATTCAGGTTCCTTCCTGCCGTGTCTCTCTCATTTCATGTCACCAACATCTGGAGAAGTGGCGGGAATTAATTGTTCCCAGGTCCACCATTCCTGAGACTCTATCTTGTCCGTCTCTCCCTTTGGAGACCCTAGACGCTGGAGGCCAGGCACGGGTGGAGAAAGCAGCAGCAGGGAACAAGGACGAGCCACACTTTTCACATCAAGTGGGCAGGTTTCCAGGGGAACAGACCAGTCAAACGTGTGGCCTCACACAAGGGGAGGTCCTGCTTTTTTGAAGAACTTGCATTTCCCATCATTCTTGTTTACATCCTTAAAGCACAGGACTAAAGAATTCACTGATATTTAATGGGGAACATCTCAGTCCTTTTTTAAATATACTTGATTCCTATCCCTTAAATGCCTGGGGGAAAAAAAAGCAAAAAAGAAAGAGAAATACTTCCAGTGAAAAACTGACCAACCACTTATTCAGGAAAAATTTATTGGCCTTACGGTAATTTCTGGCTTTCACTCTGTCCTCCACCCTCAAATCCATACCTCACACTGGGGGCCAGAGACAAGAGGTGGGAGATCCGTCCCGAAACTACTATAGTAGATCAGGCCTTCTTCAACACTGGCTTGGATTATGACAGTGGTTGAGGAAGTACGGAGAAGGAGGCGGACGTGAGAGGTAATTCAGAGCAGAATCCACAGGAATCAGTT